CAACAGCAATGCAAAGGTGAACTGGGCACAGAACAAACAGGTTAAGAGAACATCTCCAAGGGTTGCTTATGAGGGACATCCTCGTACGTACTTTCTAATACTTTCTAATACTTTCTTTCCTGGTATATTCTTGGAGGATCTTATGGCTGGGGAGGGAGGAGAGGCAAGTCTGTGCTTTAAGCACATACTTTGCAGAAGGCACCTCTCTCCTCCAACCCGGTCTACAGGGATGAGCTCAGATGTCAGGCACACTTGGAGACCAGCTGCTTCTGGGCACATGTGCCCCCAAATGTCAGAGAAGCTGTGAAATGTGATGCTGGCGTCAGTATCTGGCCTTGCTGGTGTTACCTGGGGACAACCTGGTCAGAGGAGGAGGTGGACTTTTATTGGAACTGCTGATAGGAGAATGTCGTGGTTTAACCCCAGACAGCAACTAAGCACCACACAGCCACAGTTTCAGCAGTTCCAATAAAAGTCCAAAACTGGCTCATCACATAAAAAGTGCTTGGTGCACTGTTCCTAAGCCAGTCACATGTCAATAACACATCCCCTAATCAGTGTGCTCCAGTTGTGCTGCTTGCTGCCAGCCTCACACGTAGGCAAGGACCTGCAGGACTCCATTAATTCTCCTGCAGGCAGTATTTGGAAAGGCTGCCCCACACTGTTCATACCTCATGCATCACGTTTCAGCATCTTCTGTGTTATCCATGACGCCTAGCTTGCAGGAGCCTTGCCCAGACAGAGCCCATCATGACCCTGGGCTGGCATTTCCCCAGTCATCATACTACTGATTACCAGACTTCGTTGGTCAAACTTGGCTACTGTGTGAACTCCTTGTGTTCTGGATTTAGGCTTGCCTCAAATTAGGCTAATCCAGTTGAACGAGTGCTCAATTGCAGCCCGGGCTGTTTTCAGCATGCACAATTCCACTCTTCAGCGTGAGGGTGGTCGCTGTGGGTACCACCTCTCCCTGGGTATATCTGGAGAGTGACTGCCACACCTATATATTTCCCAGATGGTGCCACTGCTAAAAAAGTTAAAGTGAATGCTCAGCACAATTCAAGTCAACTTTTTAAACCACTTTATTATATAAAGGAGTAACTATTTCTCCCCTTTTACAGTTACAGACACAATAAAGAGAGTATTTTCTGAACCAGAAACTTGGTATTGACTGTAGGGCTTCACTTTATTTATCATGTTTAAGACAGTGATTCAGCAGCAATAGTTCTACCTCCAAGGTTTGTTCTTAAAAGGAATGAACTGTGTTTGAAAAGCAGCTGAATGTTTGAAGATTGATACTTTCTCCCACCCCCAAAATTACCAGAGCTCCTAAGTGTTTCAGATGTCACAAGTTACACTGATCCACTTAACAGTGAGGTGTGATGGTCCTCCAGGGAGAGATAGGTTTGGGGTTTTTATTAATATTTGTGTACCTTTGAGATCTGTGGAAACAGGAACTTCCCCAAGCCCAGAGGAGCCCAGCCAGTTGGTCTTAGCATAAGGGCAGCAACCCCAGATGAGGTGGGTGCACTGACTCTCTGGAAGCAAATGCATCTTTGTTGCCACCAAGGAGCTGAAACTGGGATCACCATAAGCCCTGTGGGTCTCTGCAGCTGTTCCTGGTCAGCTTTACATGTATGATTAGGAATATAGAATCAATGAATGTTTTGGGTTGGAAGGGACCTTAAAGATAATCTAGTTCCAACCCCCTGCCATGGGCAGGGACACCTTCCACTAGACCAGGTTGCTCAAAGCCCCGTCCAACCTGGCCTTGAACCCTTCCAGGAAGGGGGCAGCCACAGCTTCTCTGGGCAACCTGCTCCAGTATCTCACCACCCCACAGTAAAGAATTTCTTCCTTATACCTAATCTAAATCTACCTTCTTTCAGTTTAAAACCGCTGATCCTTGTTCTGTTGGTACAGGACCTGGTAAAAAGTTTCTCTCTATCTTTCTTGTAAGCCCGCTTTATATATTGTAAGGCCACAGTAAGGTCTTGTTGGAGTCTTCTCTTCTCCAGCTCCCCCAGCCTTTCATGAAATACCTGATTTAGGTTTTTCCCCTCTACTACTACCTCCTTTCGTTGGTTTGAATTAAAAGTCAGTAACTTCAAACAATCAAACAAAGAAACAAACAAAAAGTCAAAAAGACCCCAACTAACAAAAAATCCACAGAATTTGCGTTTGTTCAGAATTCCCCACTTCTGGTCTACTTGGAGGAGAGATTCCATACTGCAGTAATGCTGTGATTAATTCTGCACTTGTCCCTGGTGGTACAATAGTACTACAACATTTTTGAACACCTTGTGGACCACCCACAAGCAAGAGGAGCAGCAATCATGTGGCCAGCAGAATGCCTTGGATGCGGCGTTTCCTTGGGGATTTAGAGGACAATAAGAAAATAGTTTGTTGGTTAGTATTTTGACTGAGATAGATTTTGATCACTCAGACAAGTCTATTCAGCTTGAGAGAGAGCAGTGTTCTCTGAAGCAAATGAGTAACACAAACACCTTAGTAAAATGGGTGAGTTGTTAAGTACAGAAAGCACCCGAAGAGCCATGAAGGTAGTTAAGTATTTAGATTCCTGCTTGCCTTTTATGTGGATTTGACATAACCTCATGCAACAGCTCTAACTGCTGCAGTACTCTAATATCCATTGCAAAGGTTGTTCTGGAAAAGTTTAAGATAAAAGAAAAAGATCTGCTGAACACATCTTGATGAAAAGAGGAATGCAAAATCCCACGTTTCTTTTAAACTCTGCTTTCTCCCCTAGCAAAACGCATTCCTTTTGAATGTGTCCCCTTCAGCATCCCAGATTGAGATATTCTGTCTCTATTGAGACGAATAATTGCAAGGAAAAAAAGTGGCTAATTGGGAGGTATGTTTTGTCTGTCATACCCAGCACAGCAAGGTCCCTAAAAGACAAGCCAATGAATGTCCCTTTGAAATGAAGGGAGGGGAAATCTGTTAAAAACCTTGCAAGCAATTTACAGTAAGTATAACCTCACCTGTTATTAAGGCCAGCTTCCTATGCATCGTGTAACACTCCACTCAGGCTTCCTCCTCTTACAGACAGTGATACAACAGTGTTATTTCGTATCTCCGAAGTTGTTATTGGAAGCAAATAATTTTGCTGTGAAACCAGAGTGCAGCTATAAAGCTGCTGCCTCACTGCTCTGAAAACACAGCTACATGGCATGAACTTAACTTTGCTCTTTTATGAGATGTATTTGGAGCCTAGAAGTAACTTCTGCTGCATGAGTGGAGGTTTGTTTGACATTCTGGGTCAGCTGTGTTAGCCAAGCCCTGGAGATTGTCCCAGACTCACGGGCATCCTGAGCTTTTTGATCCTTTCTGCTTTCCTGATTTAGCAGAGCTCTCCCAGCTGAGTTACCCATCAAAGTACAGAAGGAAGCAGAAATGAGCTTACAGTGGCTCTCTTCCCTTTCAGACAGTACTGAATCATCCCTCACATGAAAGGGCAAGAGAGGACCTCGCAGTGATGTTGAGGTAATTTTCTGCGACAGACAGAATTAAAGATCTTAACCAGATGTTGTTATTAAATAGGTGTAGCACTAATTCCAGAAAAAAAAAATAAATTAGTGTGCTTCCAGTATCTGTATTTCAAAAGAGATCTTGGAATATTCATGGGAATTGAGGAGAAAGTGGATTCAGAATCGTGGAAAAGTGTGTCACAGAATGAGAGACTTTGAACACAATTCAGGAGGACTGGCTGAGCTGCCCTGCTGCTAGAAGAGATGTCTTTCCTTCACCTCACCCACCATTCTCACCAGAAAAAAAGCAGTTTTCTACTGGATAAGTGAGCTCAGCCAGCTCTCCAGCAGACCAGCAGAAGTGAGGAGATCTTAAAAAGTATCCCAGCCACAGTCTTCAGCTACTTGCAGAACCAATGGCCTTTTACAAAAATGCCCACTGGGGCTGAAAAAAATGAATAAAAAGAAATTTCAGACTGGATCCAGGGTATACGTTATTAACAGCACATTAAATAATTTAGGTTTTACCTGGGACTGCAGCGGATTCTTCATCACCTGAGTCTTAAAAGCAGGACCTTCTAAAAGATACACTTTTAGCTAAAAATTAAGTTAGAGTCTTCATGTAGAAATGTCAAGACAAAGTTCTTGTTCTTTCCACACTACGATCATCTAGTCTAAACTTTTGTCTAATGGATTACTCTGGTCTTAAATATATAAAATGGTGAATAACCCCAGAGCTGAGGCCAAATCCTAGTGGAGGTATGGCATTCCTGAGTGCCTCTCTACAGTTTCACTCCAGAGGTGGGTGAAGCTTATCAGTGACTGAAGTCACAGCTCAATGCTGTTCACACAGAGACTGGGTTTGTAAGAGGCACTTTATAACTTTAGCTAGTGAGAAAGTAAAGAACTCAAGGCCTTGTCAATCCCTAAAATGTATAATTTCAGAAGAGCTGTGGCTTTTTTATTTCCTTCCTTGCTCCTGAAGTACATTTTTCACTGTCCCATGGCAACTGTTTCTACTCACCCAGTTGTTATGTGAGAACTGGGATTTTTCAAATCTATTGTGAAGGAGTTTCGAGAAAAACTTCAAAAATCCTTGCCATTTAAAGATCAGAAACAGAGAAAAGCTCATAAGAAGGACAAAGAATAGCAGCATGCCTGTGATACAAGCCTTTGTAGAGGCAGCTACCCACAGCAGAATGAATGTTTCAGTATATTTCAAATGAACAGACGTTTACAGACACTATCACAGATGTGTGGCCTTCACTTTTCTGGGTACCAAGTGTGGGTCAGAGTGGGCTTTGTGATTGCTCCCGCGTATCTTGGCACATTGGGTTTTCCAGTCCTGGCCAAACTCCACCCTGGACAAGTGTTCATTTTCTGGCAGATTGTTCAAGGGATCTTTTTGTGCAAGTGACAGCTGAAAGGCATTAAATTGTACAGTAAATCATTTAACTGGAGCCTAGAATGTGTGAACACCAAACCACAAGCTCTGACAGAAGAAAATCAGAATTTATTTTGTGTTTTGAACAGTTTTAACATTAATGGCCCAGTTTAACCACATATAACAAGCATAATCTGTTCAGTTTTCAGCAAGGTCTTCAACTGGATATTGTATACCTCTGTAGTGGTTTCCTCTAATTATTTGAGGTTTCTTACTTGGGAATTTTGTTGTTAAAATGGATTTTATTCTCTTGAAAGGTGACAGAATGCTAGCTGGGGAAGACAAAGTCTGTCCACACCACAGTTCAGCAGGGGCAGTAGCAAACCTCACACTCTTCCACCAATTCCGCCATGCAGGAACGAAGGATGAAGAAAGACAATCCAAGACACTCTTCATACTCATCCTTGATTTCTCCACATCTTGGGAAGGGTCTGCCTTTTTTCTTCTGGGCTTCAGGAATTGATTCCTTTTGACAGTTTTATTCAAATCAAAATACATTCCTATGGGGAAAAAAAGTTTTCTTTGACACATCAGCATTTTCTACAAAAGCCCTTTTATAGAAAACTAAGTCACTCTGTTCAGAAAGTATCCTCATCCAGCATCCAGTCAGTTTGACTTAGTACAAACTCAAAACTGTGAGCCATATTCTGAAGTCAAAGGGGACCAAGCCAAGGAGAAAGCCAAAGGCTGAAGAAAAATGAGTTCTGGACAGGCAGAAGACAACTGGGCCTGTCCTGGGAGCTGTGAGCAGATGCTGCCCCTGGCAGGAGGGACAACAGGCACTTACTGATTTAACCCGGCACTGAAACACCAATTAGTTATTGTAGCCACTAACAGCTTTGCGCCCAAATTCAGCCCAGCTTTTCATTTGCACAGCCATCAGAGAGAAATCCCTGGCTTGTGGGGGCACTGGTGTACTGTAACCAGCCTAGGGCTTGGAAAGAGGTGATGGCACTGATTCTGGAGCTTCTGGCCACCCGTTCGCCTGTCAAGTAGGACTCCTCAGGACCTCCTGCTGCAGGAGGAGATGACCAATGTTGTGCAGAAGTATCATTTGCTGTCCAGGAAAGGTGTTCATGGTCACTAGGCTGCCTGCCTCCTCTGCTGGCCTTGACCTCTCCATCCATCCATCCATCCATCCATCCATCCATCCATCCATCCATCCATCCATCCATTTCTTGGCTGCAGCTTATGGGTAGACAGAGCCTGTTCACAGTCACTGGAGTACCAAACTGATGGGATTGGTGACATTACAAACCAACTCCCAAACTACAACAAAACCCACGGAAATGACAAGACACCACCTGAGGAGAGAGTCTCATGGGTACAACAGTGCCAATGTGACCCTGCTCTAGGAGTCAAGAGTCTCTGCTGTCACCTTCACCTTCTCCACCTTCTTCTTGCAGCTGAACCCGTTAGTACAGACCAGTAAGCAGAGGCCTTGGTTCCACATTACCACTTGTTTCACCAGAGCCAGGGCACACATATCGCTGTCATTCCTTCCAGCAGCTGCCCTCCAACCGACAGACAGTTGGTCTCACTGTGCTTCCAGTGCTCACTGGGTGATGGCTTCATCAGCACTGCCTGCAGCACCCTGCCACCACCCTGCTGGGCTCTCCAGCAGTCCCAGCCCCTAGGAAAGACACTCTGAGTGCTGCTACATTGCACAGCAGGAGAGAAGAAGGACTCGGTGTGTGTGCATCTTTGGTCCTGCAAGGCACTGCCAGGCCACCCCGCTGCCATATGGGGCTCCTGCAATGGTGGAGTTTCAGCCTTTTCAAATTCCAGCAGTTTGGATGCCTCCTGTGTTTGAAGCTTCTGGAACCGCATCAAACGGCTGTGAGCAAAGAATGCTGTTGAAGGATTTATGCAGCCTGGATGTGAGTGTTGCTGATGAGAGAGGAGGGAACAGCAAAGATTTCTCAGCCACCATTGTGATCTACATATTTATTTATGTATATATATATATATATATATATATATATATATATATACACACACACA